GAGAGAAGAGAGAGGAGAAGGGAGGAGAGAGAGAGGGAGAGAGAGAGAGAGAGAGAGAGAGAGAGAGAACAAAACACAGCTGAGAGGGTTGGTTGGTGGTTCAGTTGTCTGGGTGCTTGCCTAACATACATGAAGCCCTGTGTTCAGTCTCCAGCGCTGCTTAGGACCTGGAATTGGGCTCACGGTGGTAATGTGCCCCCTTCCCCCTTAAGAATGATCTCTGTCCCTAAGTGCCTTTGGAAGCTGGGAGGACAGATCCCTAAGGGATAATTGCTTTGTGGCCTGCGGGTCTGGAGGAGGCTTTGGCCACTGGCTAGTGCAGGCAGCAGGCGCCGCCTCCGCCTCCCCTGTTCTGTTTACTTGTTGCCTCAGGAGACGCCCGCCCGTGTCCCTGGCTCCGTGCGCTGCAGCACTCTGACTTCTTGGGTCCTAGCAGCATCTTGGGGGTTCCAGCCAACATGAGCCACAGCAGCTCTTCGGGCTCTGGGAGCCTGGAGCGCCCCAGCAACGCCTCACCGCCCGAGGTAGAGTTCCCGCAGCTGTTTTCTGGGAGGGGCACGGGAGCCTCCTGTTTGCACAGTGTCCTGGGTGAGATTGGAGTAGCTCAGTTCCCACTGGGGCAGTGATCAGGAATGGCTGGTCTTGAAGTGGTGCCACACGGCCTCTCTGACTACTGAAACTGGCTGAATTCCACCCAGTGGCCTTCCCCCGCGGTTCTTCCCCTCCCTATCCTTAGGGAACAAAGGGATTGCTTCACTGAACTGAATTTTCCATTTGGAGCAGTGTTTTCTAACCTAGAGGTGGTAGGCGAAGCATTGGGCCCCTCAAGGCCATAGGCTGCTAACAGGTCCCCAGATAGTGTTTGGTTGGAGCTATTTGCTCACTACTCCTAGGAGGCCTTCTGAGGGGGAGGAGAGAGAGAGAGAGAGAGAGAGAGAGAGAGAGAGAGAGATCTGGAGTGTGTGTGTACTGCTTTTGGAATAAATCTAACCTAGGAGGTGCCCTCAGGACATATATATCCTCTGGGCAAAATTGGATAGAAAACATAGGTTGGATTTTTCCAACATGCTATCAGAATTCAGTTATTTAGAATGCCTGACTATCACCCCACTTTTAGGTTTCTCCAATTCTTCACATAGTGTGGGGAACCAATATCATGGTATGCAAATACATTTAATCTTTCTTCTGACAACTTCATATTTGTTATATTTTATCTTAGTGTAGTGTCTGTTGTCTTTGAATTAAGATGGTTGAATCATATATGTGATACTCTTGTTACTATTTTTAGTGAAACCATTCAAAGTCAATTACAGATCCTAACCCTCAAATGTATTCTTGTAAGAATAAGGGAATTCACTGAAGTGCAATGGTCAAATTCAGAATATTTAGCACGATTATAATCATATTATCTAATGTATATTATCTGCTAGATTTTGACAATTATCCCAAGTGTAAAATACTATCACCCCCCCACACACACAATATGTTGAGTGTCTTTAAATTTGAACTAGCTCCTCAGCTTTCTGCAGCTGTGACTTCCCGTGAGCTGATTATTGGAGGGGACTACATAGGAGATTCTGTGTCTTGGTACATTACTTCAGGAGCTGTGTAATATCATCATGGCTGTTATTACTGATGTTCCCAACAACGGGGACTGTATCTAGCAGATGCTTCCACTATACAATATCCCTCTGTGATAAGTAGACAATTATAGGGGCTGGGAAGATGGCTCAGTGGTTTAGAGCATATGTTGACCTTACATTGACATGCTGCTGGCTCACAACCATCTGTCACTCTAGTTCTAGTGGACTCACCACCCTCTTCTGGCCTTCCCGGACACCAGATTTGCATATGGCGCACACACACACACATATATACTTGGCAACACATTCATATACATAAAAACATTTGTATAATGATCATAATCATCATAATTGTGCAATTGTCTTTTAGGATAAGCCCTGATCTTAATAAAGGACAATTTTTGCTACACCTGGGATTTGAGCTGGCTTGGAAGAAATAGACTTTATTGAGAAGGGCAGAAACAGAAAAGCCAGCATTTGTTACAATTAGAATTCTAGTTTATAAAAATATTTCATCTAGCCGGGTGGTGGTGGCGCATGCTTTTAATCCCAGCACTCGGGAGGCAGAGGCAGGCGGATCTACGTGAGTTTGAGACCAGCCTGGTCTACAAGAGCTAGTTCCAGGATGGCCTCCAAAGCCACAGAGAAACCCTGTCTTGAAAAAGATAATCTTAGGTAGATAATGAGGACAGGACGTTTTGAATTATATAGTTGGGTTGCTCAGGTGACAAAAGATGCAACTAAGACCTAACTATCTTTTAAAAATTTTATGCATTTCCTGCTGTGATGCACTGCAAAATGGATTACAATACAAAGCGTGGATAGGAGGCCCCTTTCTGATAGTGGGGACTGAGTCACCAGGTTTGGAACAAAAGCGGGACTCAAGCAATCTCGAGTATTCTACTTGTCCAGAATATTTTGATTAAAAATTCTTTAGGACTTTAGAACTTGAATGTTCTCACCAGAAATTTGATGCATTAGTTAACTTTTTTTTTCTGTGATAAAATATCATGACCAGAAATGGCTTATGGAAGGAGGAGTTGACTTGGGCTTTTGGTTCTAGTGGGAAAGTCCATATTGTGCAGAAAGCATGGCAGCAGGCAGCTGCCAGGAGCCAAGAGATCACATCTTCAAACAGACACAGAAAGCCGAAAGAGCAAAGTGGAAGTAAGGTTGTGCTGTAAATTCTCAAAGCCTGCCCCAGTGACATGCTTCTTCCAGCAAGGGTTCCAAAGCCTCCCCAAACAGTACCATCAACAGGGACCAAGTGTTCAAATATGGAAGCTGATGGGGGGGGGGCATTTCTCATCAAACCCACCACACACACATGGATCATAACACCACTTGCTATTTTTTGGGGGGGATTTCATCATCAATGTATGAAGGGCACTTCACAGAGTGTCTGCTGTGATACTAATTATGGTCTACAAGAGCTAGTTCCAGGACAGCCTCCAAAGCCACAGAGAAACCCTGTCTCAAAAAACCAATAAATAAATAAATAAATAAATTTGCCATTAGGGTCCCCACTGCTATAACTGTCACTGATATTTCAACCAGTAGCTCTGCCATTACCTCAACAATCCATTTCTTGAGGATCCAAGAGTGAGGCTGAAGCTAGAAAAAGAAATGAGGTTTTGCTTTTCCTAGAAAGTTAGAGTTCGTGGTCAAGGGAACTGGAACCATGATAGGGATGCTCCTTCTCTGGTGTCACTTCAGGAGGCAGATTCCATGCCAAGATTTTCTCAGTTGAATTTACCAGAATCAAATCACCCACGGGAAAGAGCTTCACATACCTAGAAAATGTGAGAGCTGTGGGCGATGTAGCTTCTTGGGCAGGGAAGAGGGGGCCATGCTTTGGAGAGTTCATAAACAACGTGGTAGAACCTTGAGTCCCCTTGCATTTGCAACAATAGCGCTGTGTGAAAAAACGCTACCCAAAGATGGGGTACTGGCAACAATCAACAAAAACTGTAAAGCAGGGATTTAGTGAAAGGTGTTTTGATTTCCTGTTCAGGCCACAAACCATGGTGGCGTTCAGGCTATTTTGTAACATTGCTGTTTTCACACATTTAGAGACACTGAATGGAAATTATGACTCCAGTAGGAGCTTCTATTGGGAAACGGAGCAGTCCTCTTTCCTGTGTGCATTGCACAGGCTGGAGAGATGGCTCAGTGGTTAGCAGTGCTGGTTGGTGGTACAGATGACCCAGCAGGCACATAAGGAGCCAAATGACTGAATATGTTAAGGCAAAAAGACATCACTTGAGGTGATTATAAAGATTTCATTCACCAGGAAATTGTAACAGTTCTAAATGTGTATGGAGGAAATAGTATAGCCTCGAAATACAAGAAGAAAACTGGGTAGATCTGTTAGAATGAACAGACAAACCCATGTGAGGTAGCACATGACCTTTCTTTTGACACTGAACATTTAGTGTGTGTGTGTGTGTGTGTGAATGTGTGAGTGTGAATGTGTGTGTGAATGTGTGAGTGTGTGTGTGTGTGTGTGTGTGTGTGTGTATCTTTAGACTATGAAATAATTAGACCTAAGCCTAGAAGTACTTCATTGGTAGGGACTGAATGAGGTGAGATCTTTATAATATTATGAACAAAGGAAAATTATCGAATCATTTGAGAACATTAGATAACCCAGCTTTAAGAGAATTCTACAAAATCTTGGCCAGTACCCTTCCCAAGTGTAAGGGCCTTGACGGAAGTCTGAGGGGGCGTGAAAACCAAATGTACTATGGGAGCCTGCACTGGCTCCTGGTTAGGAAAGGCCATTACTGCAGACACTAGAACTGGAACGAGTTCTGCAGAGCAGGGATACTGTAACAATCTAAGTTACAGGGAGGTTGGGAAGATGTCTTTGATCAGAAAGCCTTTGTTCAGGTTTTGCAACATTTCCAAAATTCTAAGTCATTGCAGAGTAAAACAGCCAAAAGAGAAATGAATCAATGATGACAGGTCTGTTCATTTACACTCATTGACTTTGAGATTTTTTATTACAACGTTCATCTTCTCTTGGCACCTATTCTCCAACCACCTGGCTTCAGAATGTAGTGTGAGATAACACCTTCAAGAAATGGGTAGAACTTTTCAAACAGCAAAGAGATATCATTTCTTTTCATAATGTACTTTAAAGAGATCTTCTTTACTTAGTTTCAGCAAAGAGGATGCAGATGCATTTCAAACAGTAGTGAATACTTCTTGGTTTCTACTTGGATTAAGTTGATGAATTTTCCTTTTTCTATGCTGAAGGACAACGTCATTTAAAAAATAATGTACAAGAGGGTAACACTGGTGAAACAAGGAATTATTTATGCTTTTTTTTTATTTTTGCTCAAGGTTTCATGCTTTGTTTTGCTTCCAGTTTGTTTTCTCCTTTGAAATTTGTGTGTTGACAGCTTTGATCCAGGGGTAGGGAAGTTCAAAGGCATTGTTGACATGGACTAGGATACTTCACTCTTTAAGTTACCGATATGCCAGCCTCACTGGTGGCTACACTTTAGGTATCAAGATATATATTGCTTGAATCACTATAGGTTGCTTATAAAATTATCAAATGGAATAAATAAATATCTCTGCAGGACAGTAGGGAGGGTATTAGTTCACAAAATACTACCTGCTTTATATTTCTGTGTAACCCAAATGATTTCCCTCTCATTGAATTTTCCTTTATATTTTTCTTCTCAAATCTTCCCTATGGATAGTCATTTTCAGAAGCGTGGCTTTTGGGAGATGAAGGTCAACGTATTATAACCTCAGCATCAATGCCAAAGGCAAGAGTTTTAAGACCCAAGGGTAATTAGGGTGTTTCTATAATTCTCTTTGAATTGGGGTCAAAGATGCAGATAGTAGGATTTCTGATAGGAAGTTTTGATGTTGAAACCTAATTGTTTGAATTAAAAAATGAGAACCTAGGAGGAAGTGGGAACCAC